CTCAATTTGGTACCAATCAAACTCCTATATTTGCTATATACTAAACCAATGTATATAGAATTTGTTAAATGGCATGTGAAGACATTTTTCATCTTCTCTCCATGTGTGTTATTGCTCCATACTCGCGACACGTGTACGCTGATTAACTTTTATTAAACAATGTAGTAAACTAGAAAACTTCACACAAATACTGACAAGTCACTGCCATCTAAGGGTTGATGCTGAAAATACAAGTTGCATTGTATACAAATTCTAAAACTCAAACCATAGGGCAAATTCAGATTACTATTATTTATTTATTTATTGCCCAATGTATACTTTTACCTGCAGTGTTATTATCAGTACACCCTGACATTTAGTTTGGGGTAATTATTTCCCTGATAGTTGCTCTATCTCATACCAACTAGTGACATCTTCCCCCAGTGACATTTGCTATAGACTTTGAAGGGTACATTGGCAGCTGAAATTCCCATAAGGGGGACGACTTATCTAAACAATTTACGTAGAAAGAGCAGAAAGAAGAATATTTTTGACAAATGTTAAATACATATCAAGAATTTTAGGACTAAAGAGCTGATCAGGGCGGAGCCTGCCTGCAAACCTGACAAGATGCCATCTCTGACAGCTCCTCCAAAATGTATCAAATCCCACCGAACATCTCTAGACCTGAAGCCCATCCAGCCTTACAAAGTGGCTAGACCGCATCTACAGAGCATACCGAGCAGTTAGATGCTTTCTTTCTCACCCCGAATCAGACCAAACAAAAACGAAAGTCTGGTGCCTAACCTTTACTGATGCTCCAGGGCTTGGAGACGCTCCTAGGAGACCCTGCCACGAACCTTGGAATCTCCCCTTCAGACCCCTGCCGCCTCAGCCTGCATGCCCATCATGGACCAATGCTCACAAAAACCCGGCATGCCGGAAGAGATATTGGGGCCATGTTACAAAGGTCCACCCAGCCTAAGTCCGCTCCCACAGTGAAACCACATGACATCTCCGGAGCTCTGGTACAGATACCACAAGGGCCTGAGATGGCACCAGACCCTCAGATGACTTTCTTGACCCACCACACCTGGGTCCCTGTCATATGATACCATGCCAATAAGGTAACCCACCTACAAGTTCCACGGACACAAAAGTTATTTTTTTTTATTTTTTATTCTAAGTTCTACGTGTTACATTGTGCTAACAAGAGGCTCAGACCCACCGACACCAATAACACGCAATAGGGCCATTCAGACTAGAGTGTTATAGCTCCAATCGGTACTGAGAATCCTGCATTTGTCACTTATAGGAGACACTCACGTTTATATCCACCCCCCTGCACTCCCCCTTGGTTAGGGGACACCACTCAGAATGCAAAGCAGTTAACAACTAATCTAAGCAGACTAGCAAGCTACAGGTTGTAACCACACAACTTACCCTATCCAGGTACAAGACATCGTAGAATAACTGCTCCCATGCATTGATCACTCCATCATCTGGAACGCGCATGCTCCCACCTCCCAACATATGCAACAGGCATGCAACTAACACTCATAGTGTACCTAAAAGCATATACATTATCCAGCACCCGAGACAAATGGTCCATTAGCCCTCTGGCTGAGGATTACTCACATGCACAATATACTCCATTTGTCCACAGGTAGGCAATGTTCTCTTTCACAAGAGCTCGTTCACAATGTAATCTGGGGAGGTTGTGATTAGAATGGTGAGTGCATGCTGTAAAATATTTCGATAAACAGCGGAGGAAGTATAGCTTGCTGCTCTGATGACTAGCACTGAATGGGTAGGCTTATAGCTGCAGCGATTTTTACAAAATGCTGCAGTTATAATGTTTCCCTAGTTCTTTTCCATGGCCACAGTACTTTATGCCTGAGATCATCACATACAAGCCAATGAGAGACAAGCGGAGATAATATTTAAGGCATAGACACACAGTAATTTGGACCTGTCTGTATAACTTCATCATGATGCCCTCAGGTCTGTGGCTACTGCCTTAGAGAGACGTTCCAGACCCCTAAAGAACTTCGGTTTGCTCAAGTGCTCTATGTGTGAAGAGTATGTTCTCTTTTTAACATTTCTATAAATTAACCTTGTTATGTCCATTTGGCTGTCAATCAGACAACTGGTCCTGTTACTTTCTGGTTTGTTTAGCTTAGTGGAGCTGAGCTTTAAGAGGCAGACTACAGCCTAGAGCAGCATTTCCCAATTGGTGTTCCGCGGAACCCTATGGTTCCATCGAGAACAAAATTGTGGTTCCACAGCAATTGGCCCTTCGGATGGCCGGGCTCCAGTAGTATTGGATGCTGGGAGGAAGTGACAGCACTTTCTCCCAGACAGAGCGTGCCGGCTGGAGGGAGAGAGAGCAGCGGGGACTGGGCAGCTGCCGCCCTGGCACACCAGCCTCAACCAGCAGCACTAAAGGAAGTCACCTTCCTGCAGAAAAAAGGTAAGTGAACAGGATGGTGACTGCAAATATAAATTCTGTGTGTGTGTGTATGTGTCTATGTGTGTGTACCTGTGTCAGTTTGTGTATCTGTGTGTATGTCAGTGTGTGTACTATGTGTCTGTGTGTATGTCAGTGTGTGTATCTATGTATCTGTGTGCATGTCAGTGTGTGTATGTGCTAGTATGTATCTGTGTCTCAGTGTATCTGTCAGTCAGGGGTGGGCTGGGACGGGGGGCAGAGAGGCAATTGCCCCCCAGGCTGCCCTAAATCCAGGGCCATCCGAATGCAGCAAAAAAAAAGGAAAAATCTGAATCCCCTGCCTCTGGCTGCAGCCAGTGGAGAAGGCCGACCTCTCCTGATGATGCTGGGAGAAGGGGGTGTGCCTTTCACTGCTCTTTTCACAGGACCGCTGGAGAGTCTGGGAGAAGAGCAGAAGAAGTCACGCCCCCTTCCTCCTGACATCATCAGGAGAGGCCAGCCAACTCCACTGACTGATGGCTGCTGCTCCTGCTGGCTGCTGGCACTTGCTCCTGGCTCCTGCCCACCTCTCCCTGGCCTAAGGTAAGACTCAGGGAGGGGGGTGAATACACTTTAGTTTTTCTCATTTTTTTTATCCCCCTCCTCAGCCCCTGTCCCCTTCTTGGGCATCTGTTCAAAAGAAGGATATTATGGCACTAGAAAAGGTGCAGAGGCTGGCTACAAAATTAATAAAAGGAATGGAACATCTCAGCTATGAAGAAAGGTTAACAAATTTAAGCCTTTTTAGTTTAGAAAAACGTCGCCTGAGAGGGGATATGATAACATTATACAAATATATTCAGGGCCAATACAAACCATTGTGTGGAAATCTATTCACAAACCGGACTTTACATAGGACACGAGCTCATGCGTTTCGACTAGAAGAAAGAAGATTTAGTCTGAGGCAAAGAAAAGGTTATTTTTTACTGTAAGATCAATAAGGATGTAGAATTCTCTACCTGAAGAAGTGGTTTTATCAGAGTCCATACAGATGTTCAAACAGCTATTAGATGCATACTTGCAAAAACAGAATATTCAAGGATATACTCTTTCAATGTAGGGTAATAACTGCTTGATCGAAGTATAAATCTGACTGCCATTCTGGGGTCAAGAGGGATTTTTTTCCCTAGCTTGTTGCAAAATTGGAAGTGCTTAAAACTGTTTTTTTTTGCCTTCTTTTGGATCAACAGCAAAAAAACTAATGTGAGGAAGGCTGAACTTGATGGACGCAAGTCTCTTTTCAGCTATGTAACTATGCAACTATGCTTAGTTTATGAGGGAGGTAATGCCAGGTGCATTAACCCTTTAAGGACGACGGGAGTTCTATGCTGTCCTTAAGGAGCTGAGCCTAAATGCCAGCAGGTGGCATAGAACATCCTCGCCGTCCACTCCGCTTACCTGATCGTCACCATTCCCCCACCGGTGATCAGCGTTGCTCCCGGTATGATATATATATGCATATATTATATTTATATCTATATATAATATGTGCTTTTATATCAATATACACATATATTAAAATAAAATACACTTAGAATTAAATTACACACACATATATAATAACTATATATATATATAAATATATATATAATTCTAAAATATAAATAAGTAAATAAAAATAAATACAAAAATAATCAATTTAAAAAAAATAACATATATATATATATATATATGTAATTTCATTATAACTGTATTTTGATATTAATATTTATATATTCATATCAAAATACACTTAGAATGGGATTATATATATAAATAAATAAATATAATAAAAAATATAAATATATCCATAATTAGATAAATAATTTCCTAAATATACACGTAGACTTCAAATATATAAATATGCATATAGATTTAAATTTTACGTGCATATTTATGTAATATTTTTACATAATTAAGTAATTTTATTGATTGCAATTTGAGGGACCTGCCTGACAATCGAGGCAGAAAGTCCAGAGAATTTAATTCGCTAGGACTATATTTAACCCTGTAACTTTACAAGACACCATAAAACCTGTACATGGGGGGTACTGTTATACTCAGGAGACTTCGCTGAACACAAATATTAGTGTTTCAGAACAGTAACATGTATCACATTGATGATATTGTCAATGAACGTGATGTTTTCTGCATTTTTCACACACGGCACTTTCACTGATGAGATAATTGTTGTGATACGTTTTACTGTTTTGAAACACTAATATTTGTGTTCAGCGAACACCATTTGCAAAAGTATATAACCCAAGGTATTGCAAATGGGGGTATGTACAGTCACAAACACTAGCCAAAGTTAGCGTTCATATTTGTGTTTTGCATTTTTCACACATAAACAAATATAAACGCTCACTTTGGCCAGTGTTTGTGACTAAGTGGCTATTTAAAAAGACTGGACGGGGGGTGGAGCCAGCTACCTAACTGAACAGACGCGTCCTGCGGGAGCTCCGACTATACAGACAACAAAACGAGGCTACAAACCCACTCCAGACCAGAAAAAAACCCTCATAAAAGCGGGCTACTGCATACAACTACAATGGGGCGCAAATCAAAAAAATACCGGGCAGAAAAAAACCCTACAACCGCTGATATTGGCGATCTCCTCTGGAGGCCCCAGAGCTCTACGAGACCTGTCATGGCACCTGCCTCGGACGGACCGTCTTACTCCTCCAGCGAAGCTTCCCTCACCGACCAGAGAGAACTGGAGACGCTGGCAAGAGGCAAGCAGACTGGCAGACCGACTACTACAGGCTCTGAGACCCCAGTGACAGAAACCACCCTAAAGGCCCTCCTGGACGAACTATGCCGCAATATTGCCACCGATATCTCTGCATTCAGAGACAAAATTAATGGAGTCTCGGCCTGCCTACACAATGCGGAGGTGACCGTAGCAGGCCATAAAACGAGACTCACAATCTTAGAGTGGGAACTCACCGCATTACGGTCCGAACAAGCGAAAGTACGACAACACATGGCCACAATGGAAGACCGGAGGTGGTGGAAGAACGTAAAGGTCCGAGGCCTTCCAGACACAGTTACTACGGCTGAAATACCTCACCTGTTCCGAAGGCTTCTGGCTCAGTTGTTCCCTGCCAAACAAGCCAAACAGATGCAACTGGATGGCTGCTACAGGCTCCCAGCTCCACCCGCAACAGCTACAGGAGCACACAGGGATGTTATAATATGCTTCCAAGCTGGCCCTGACAAGCAAGCGTTCATAGCAGCCACCCGTAACAAGTTGACTTACACGTTTGAAGATCACCAGCTGACGTTCTACCCGGATTTGTCTAGGGCAACCCTAGACTGGAGACGGTCCCTAACACCCCTGACCGCAGCACTCACAAAATGCAAGGTGCCGTACAGATGGGGAACACCAAGGAGTCTTCTGATCCCCCACGGAGCTGGGGTACCTGTCGGCTTTGGCACCCGGAATGATGTTGGCCAGCCTCCTATTCTCCGGCATAAAGTTAGTCCTTGCAGGGCACTCCAGAGTCCGTTGAGTCCTGGGGACCTGCAGCAGGTTGAAGTGTCCATGGATCTCTGTTATCACATCACCGGCCAGTGTGTGAGTGCGGGTATGATGCTGTACGGGTCCTAGTAGCCAGGTGAGGGTAACTCTGTGATGGAATCTTCATTTGGGGGTGACCTTTCTGGGCACTGCCTCAGTGTTGTTCTGCGGTCTGAGTTATAGAGAGCTCTGGTGAGGCGTGCTCTGTTGAGGTAGGCGCTGAGTCTGCTTCTGGTGAGTAGTTTTACAGTCAGCAGCACTACATTTATATTCCATGGGTGGTCATAGCTCTGGCCGAGTGTTGTGAGAGCTCTGCCGCATCACGCCTTCTCCAGCGGTTTATGAGTTTGGTGCGTTGCTGTTGGCCATTTTCTGGGGGCCGCGTGGAAGCTGTCTGCGGTGGTTCACCCAGAAACACTGCCAAATTATGTTGTTTGCCCGGTGGGGGCCAGGATAACCCCCGCCAGCCCATTGGTGGCTAAACGGGGCTGGGGACCCCGGATTGTTTGTGGTTTTCCAGTGTTTGGCTGTGAGAGAAGGAGTCACACAAAGGGTCTGGGAGGAGTAAGACACACAAAAAGTGGTTGGATGTAAGAGTCATACAAAGTGGGGAGATTAGAGACACACAAGGGGGTTGTAAGCGATAGACAAGGGAGGTGTAAAACACACAATGGGGAAGAAATAGGAGATAAGATATACTAAAGGGAGTAAGGCATTTAAAAGAGTATAGTATGCTGAAGCAGATCCGCTCTGCATGGTACATACAAGCGCCTTTTAAAAGCTGAAATAGCTTACCTGTGACTCCGTCCGTGACCCATCTTCCTCTGGCACAGATTGGAAAGAAAGCGAAAATGCATCGGGCCGACCCGGGCTCCGGATCCCGCGATATCGGGACACAGGCTGAATCCTTTGGGACAGGGAAGGGATGAAGATAGCATACCCTTCACCATACCCAGCTTCCCCCAGGTACCAGTGTCAAAACAGGGGCATCTACAACTGGGGATGCAGTACCCTCCACTAAGGCTGACATAAAGGTATTACTACAAGAAATCCGCCTGGAACAAGAGCTATGTTCCAGGCAGATATGGTGGTGGTGTGGTAGGAGATGGCAACTCTCACTAGCAGAACTGTAGCAGCGGAGGCAGATTTGGAAAGTGTGAAAGTCGCTGAAACGGCCAAACATGCAGCTATTAATACCCTACAGAACCGCTGCACAGACCTGACCAGCCGTATAGCAAACATGGAGGATAGGTCTAAGGCCAATAATTTACGGGTCAGGTGGGTTCCAGACACCATCCCCAACGAGGAACTATCACATTATATGAGAAGGCTCATATCTATAGTACTGCTGCACAAACAGACGTTTAAGGCTAAGACGGTTATCCTTGATGCCTGCTTCCGCCTCCAGAGGTCACCGAAGGCACCTCTAGATGTCACACAGGATGTCTTGATCAAATTTGTGTGGGACTCTGATTGGGGGAGCTCTTACGGGTGCAGCCAGGGAGGACCCGAATGTGTTCTTTGAAGGAAGTCAACTCGGGTTTTACAAGGATTTGTCTAGACACACCATCAGGTGGCGGCAGTCTCTCCGACAGACCACTCAACTGCTCCGAGAGCACAAGATCACATACAAACGGGGTCCTTGCAGGCTCTTGGTAAAGAAAGGCAGCAAGACCTACCATTTTACTCACCCTTCCGAGGCACCTCCTATGCTTCAATAGATGGGGCTACCAAACAGACCCATACAGGTGAGGAATCAACCATTATGGTCCGTAGTCAGGATCACACCTTTCGAGCTGAAAAGGCTGGATACGCCTGCTTGACTGGCACTGGACCTGTCAAAGTTCTTTTACTGTTTTCATATGTTTATTTGATTTGTTCACAATTTCTATATGGCTCCGTAAGCCGACATCCCATAAGTAATATGCTGCTTTATCCCTCTCTACCTTAACCACACGTGCCAACAGGCGTTTGCCCTTTAGTTTATAATGTGGCACGTTATTTACGGCCGATAATTGCCCCACAGACAAAAGTCTAACACGCTTAAGTTATGTTCTCCCATTGTGCGTCTTACTGGGGATGACGTTTCTTATGTTTTATTCTCACATTGCCAGTTGCTCACATGTTTGATATTATTTTCCTAACAAAAAAAAAATAATTGATTTTTGGCTATGTACCCAAAAATTCTTGCACCGGCCCTGGTATGGGGCGGGTCCAACTCAGGGGATTACTTTGGGACCTCTTGCACTTATTGGACTTGTTGGGGAGATATGTCCCTGAACCGGACTGTTTTGATCAGCAGAATCAAAGTGGGCCCTTTATTTAATAAGATCCTGAAAAGAACTCTCACAAGCAGCAGTGCTAGTGTGGCTCTGCCCCCCGGAGTATGTGATATCATAGATATCACTTCCTCCCAGTATTACCATGGAGCTGCATTAACTGGGAGCTGAGGTTACTGAGGGAACAGTGTCTCTATGGCAGTATGGCAGTTTGACAGTGTATGTGTATCTATGTGTGTGTGCAAGTTTATTTGTCTGGCTGTGTGTCTGTTCGACAGTGTGTATATATGTATGAGTCTGTGGTTGTGTGTGTTTGACAGTTTATGTGTGTCTGACAATGTTTAAGAGTATGTTTGATGCTGTGTATTGCATGTGTATGTAACAGCAGGAGCCTGTGCATGTGTGCCTAACAGAGTGTGTGTGTCTCTAACATTGTGTACATGTTTGTGACAGTGTGTGTGCGCCTAATAGACATGTGCAATTTGCTTCATTCCAAATGTCCAAAGTGCCGCATTTTTGTAGTGCCGAACCGAATGACATTGGTCCCAATTGCCAAAGTGCTTTGGATTTCTGAAAAGTGGCAAAACAAGAGAGAGGGAGGGAAAATTACATAAATGATGACAGGAATCTTGACCAATAAGCTAATTCCTGGAACTCAGAGCCCTGTGGATGTGTAAGTGGTTGTGGTGTCAATCCTGGCACTGGGAGTCCTACAGATGTGTAAGTGGTTGTGGTGGCAGTCTGGGCACTGGGAGCCCTATAGATGTGTAAGTGGTTGTGGTGGCAGCCCGGGCACTGGGAATCCTATAGATGTGTAAGTGATTGTGGTGGCAGTCCTGGCACACTTGCAGCTTATATCCCCCACACTACAGCACCTTTCTCCAATTGCAGCCATCCAGCTAATTCAGCCTCTAACCGCCCTACTATAGCCCCTATCCCCCACTAGATTTTCTTACCTCTCCATTACAGTCCCTATCCCCCACTATAGCCCTTAGCCACCTACTACAGCCCCTAACTCTGGAATTACAGCTCACAACCAGTGCCCCTCCTGAGATTAGGTTCTGGATCTGCTCCTGGCATTAATAAGCTATTTGGTCACAAAGATGGCACTAATGAGCTATTTAAGCACAAAGATGGCAATGAATAGCTATTTTGGGACACAAGTCACACTGGGTAGCTGTATGGGGACAGAGATGGCACTGGAAAACTGGGCACAACGATGGCACTGACAAGCTTTTTGAGGGGAAAGCTGGCACTGTAGGAAGTGGGTGATATGTTACATGTTACCTACAGTTGGTGGGCCCAACAGGCAGGCACACATACATACAATCACACACACACAGACAGGCACACATACATACAGACACGCAGACACATACATACAGACACACACATACAAAGACACACACATAAGACACATACACACATACATACAGACACAAGACACACATACATACAAAGACATACACACACAACACATACATACAAAGACAAGACACACATACATACACACATATATACAGACAGACACACACACAAGACATACATACAAACATACAGACACATACATGCAGACACACACCCAAGACATACATACAAAAACACACACATACATACAAAGACACACACACACACAAGACATACATACAGATAGACACATACACACAAAATATTTTAGTCACCCTCCTCTTTCCTACCTTTTAGGTGCAGGAGGGTGACTTTCCCTGGGGTCCAGAGTTCCCACTCTGACACCCTCTGCTTCCTCCCACGTGGTTTGTGTGTTAGCTGGGAGGAGTGATGTACACAGCTTACCGGGCCCCCTTACAATCCATAACCATCGGGTGGCCCTGACAGCATGGGCCACCCGATTAACTCCTTGGTTTTCTGCGCGGGCCGGGGCCGCAAATGGTGATGGTGGGTACCGCCAGCTCGCACCCGCCTGCCGAATCTCTCAAAATGAGGAAATCCCCACTAGTGGGCGGTAGGGACCAGGTTCACAACCCATGGACTAGACAAACAGATACTGGGCATGATAGGGCTAGTACACAATTGAACAAGTAGGCAAGGGGACAATCACACCTGTACAAAAACACA